ACTGGCCCCAGGTTCTATAAATGATTCTATTTTGACTGACTAGCTCTTCAGCCCTCACTCCTGTCTTGAGCTTCCTGAGTCACTTCTCACCCCCAGCTCTTCTTCTTTCTGAATGGACTGAATTATCAAAACACCATATGTTAGAAGAGCAATTCACAATTTATAAAGCCCTTTTATATACCAGCTGTCTTTTGATTTTTCATCAGCATGTAAGGTAGACCAGGCAGGTAATTTAACCCATGCTTCACAGAGAAGGAGAAAGGAGGCTCAAAGAAACTTAAGGAGATTGACTAGGAGACATACACACTACACACACAAAGCCACGTGCAGCCACACACAAACACATGTACACTGCATGTCAGTGAGGGGTTGAGTCTTAGAACCAAGCTTCCTGTTTTGAGTCTGGTGCTCATCTCACCACTCACTAGGCCATGGTATATGGCCCTGTTAGATGGAACCCCACAGGACCACCTACAATGACCATTTCCTTTCTTCTTCATGGAGGATGTTTGCTTGTAGGGAGAATCCAAGGATTCTTGCACCTTGAATCCAAGGAACTTAAAACACCTGTGGGGGTTAAGCAGAACTCTAGACTAAGTACAGAAAGTTGTCTGAAATTGCTTCCCTATTTGGGTCCTTTCTAACCTTCCTTTTTTTAGAATTTCATTCTGTCCTTTCAGCTTACCTCCTGATTCCTAAGAAAACCTCTTGATTCTTCACTCACCTGCTCTAAGGCATTTGTCTGCTAACAGCTTAAATAGGGTTATCCCTCCATAACTTACACTTACATTATGTGGGCTATGCCTCAGCTTTCAAGACAGGCATATTCAAATGCATTGCCTGCAGGAGGAAAATATAAATTTTTAGCAACTGGGATAGTCTAGACAAATGACCAGTAGTTGAAAAGAAAATGTAGTATCTTCCAAGTATCCTAGAAAATATTAAATAATATAATCAGCATTAATATGCAACAGGTATGCACCAGTATAACTATGCATGTGGGGAAATGTTGGAATGTTTCCACACTGGTTGGTAATTCCAGCCCAGAGCTCCATCCCACACCCTTAGCCCTCGTGACCCAGCCTTTCCCCTGGCACTCTTGCAGACCTCCCCATGATGGAGGAGTAATGTTTGGGACTATGGAGGAGCAAGGGGCCTCCAGGAATCACTCAGTGCTATTCCTGGGTGGCACCAGGAATTAATCAGCAGCTCCTGATGAATAAGACACAGCTATATCTAAAATCACATGTCATGTGGTTCAATTACTTCCTAAGTTCTCACAGCCGATGAGCATTCCTGGCAGTCAGGAAAGTTCAGCACATGGGGTTCCCATGAGGGGAGGCCTTTCATGGGGTAGATTTGGTGAGGGACCTGGACTGGCAGAGGATACCGTGAGGGCCCAGAAGTCAAGATGCAGGATGTGGGGAAATGGGCTAAAAGAGCAGAAAGAAAGTCTGTGTGTGTGTGCCCGAGTGTACTGTCTGGGAGAGCGCGGGTGTGAGGGGGTACTGAGAAACTGACAAGTCTGCTCAGCACAGTTTAGCTATAGCCAGTACTAGTCCTGAGTGAAACAAAGAGAGTATTTCCATTGTTTGCTTTGCCTCTTGCTCTATATCTGAGCATTGTCACCCAGAGAATGTGATCATACTTGGAGCACTAGCTGTGACATGTGATTTTAGATATAGCTGTGTCTTATTCATCAGGGGTTGCTGATTAATTCCTGGTGCCTCCCCGCCCCCAGGCCAACATCCAAATTGCTGGGCTGGATAGAATCATGAACTCCATGGAGTCTGTCATGAACAAAGGCTGGCTGATGTTGGAGTGGGTTTTATCCCTGAAGAATGTTAGGGCCCAAGTGATCATGGATTAGAAACTCAATTTGCTCTTCTGTGGATAGAGTCTGTGCAATGTTGGTCAACACTTCCCCAGAATTCCAGGTACTGCTTCTTATTTGGGGCTGGGCAGGATCCGGATCCCCCTCTCCTTCTTGAAAAAGCACAGGCCCCTCTTAGACCAATAGGCCAAGACCTGGGTCCTTGCACTCTGGGGGATGGGAGCTAGACTCTTAGCAACCTGTGCTCTGAGGGCCAGTCCAGAGCTCAGGATAGGTCTCTAGGAGCCTGAGGGAGGTGGGAAGGTTCTATAACATGGGGTGATATGGGCCTCTCTCCTTGGTTCCTCCATAGCCCCAAAGGGCTAGGAATCAGGTTATACAGGCCCAGCTGCCTGTCAGTGTCTGTGTCAGACATCAGATGCCTTCTGTGACCACTCTCTTGGCACATTAGGCCTTTCCCCAACCTACATGCTCCTTTCCAACAAAAGATATTAATTGGTGTGAATCTGTCCCAGGTCCAACGTGACTCCCCCACCTCCATTTCTCCCCCCTAGGCACCGGCCTTGTGTGCTGAACGAGACCTCTCTCCTGTGCACCGTGTGAAGGATTCACAAAAAAGCCTCCCCCAAGAGGCTGGGACTCTTATAAGAAATAAAAAACTAAGCACAATTCCAATCCTTAGGAGAGTCATCTTTTTTATCTGTTTTTCCTTGCTTGTTTCTTGTTGTCTGCCAGTTCAGAGGCAGAGACATGTCACATGATTCCATTTAAAATTGGGCTCTGGCTGGTGCTGTTTTTTCCTACCCACTGCCCATCTGCCTGCTTTATGGGCAATCCAAGTGCTGGGTAGGCTGGGAGACCCAGAGAACACACAAGAAGAACTGAAATATTCAACTGGACTTGGTCCTGACAGAGGTGATTTTATTACCCTCAATGTCCTGGAAACCCCACTGCCTCTAGCTTGAGGAGACTCCAGGCTCTGTCACTATCAAAGGTGTCTGTTAGTTAGCCTCAGTGTCCTTCTGCAAGTGGCTGTGACTTGAGTCATGGGGAGGACCTCCAGGCAGGCAGCTCATGAAGTGGGCACAGAGAGGAAAGGCTGTGTCTTCCCTGCTTGGGCAGGGATGGCAGAGAGATCAGCAGGCTGAGGATGGCCACTGGACCCCCTGCGGTAGGATCTGAAAGGTCAGCATGAGCAGGTAGGAGGGTAATCTCTGAGGGGACAGGCTGTGCCAGGCCTGAGCAGGGCTGATGATATTAAAACCAGACATTAGGATGAAAAGTGCATGCTAGGTTCTCTCTCAAAATCCTTTTAGTTTAGGTAAAGAAGCAATAAAGGCCAGATGCATCATTCTTTCCCTTTGTGAAAGCAGTCTCTCTCATTCGATGAGGAAGCCTCAGGCATATGCTTGTGGTAGTTTATTAATGTCACAAAGTATACTTTATTTTTATTTGAATTTGCCGATTAAAATGTTCTATACAAGGTAAACACTTCATCATAAAATATTTAAATTAAAAATAAATAAGTTCCACTCTACATGAATCTCCAGCTGTCACATACAAATAGGCAATATCAATTATCAATTAAATACATTACAATAAAGTCTTAGGACAGGTCTCTCACAGGTCTGGCAAAAAATCACCTGTCTACTCCCTAACTTTGTTCTGGGCCCCATTTTCTATACAGTACAAGCCTATTAGACAGTTGTTGAGACTTGTTCATCATTGAAAGAGCCCTTGACGCCAGCCTCCAAATCATGTTCTGATGGGAGGATTGGGGGTTCAGTCAAAATAATGGCTGAATGGCAGATATTGGCAACATAAAAGGCCGGAAGCCCAGGTCTCTTACCCACTGCCAGGTCTTCTTATGGTTCATTTGGATATATGGAAACTGGTTGCTTACACAGTAAAAAGTCTCACATGGCCACACAGCAGCAGCATATATATAACAGTTGAGTCTGAAAGTGGTAATGTGACTAAGTTCAAGTTCTTCTTTGTATCAAGACATGACAATTTTCAATCTAGTCTTAGGCTAAATTTCACCATGGAGTCTCTGGTTTTGTTACACAGTTGAATTAATTTAGGCTTCTGAATTATAAAATAAGCCTTTTGTGGGCAGAGTTGCAACTGCAGGTAACAACTATGCGAGGCCTCTAGTCCCCTCTATAGGCCGGAATTACTGTTGACCACATCTTTATCTCAGATTCCATCTCCATACAGCTCCCCAGGAAGCCTCTGCTAATCAACTGTCTTTAACATTTGAGATAAAAATTATTTTCTAACCTCTGTGAAAGAGATGTAACACAGGAATTGAAGCTCGACATTCATATGAGTTAGATGCTTGCAGACTAGTCATTTAAGTGCTTTAAACGGATATCTCTTAATGGGTAAGGCCACCTAATTCGTGAGTTAGAGAGATCAGGATAATGTATGTAAAGTGCTCAGTGTCATACCTGTCGCATAGTAGGCATTTAATAAATGATAGTAATTATTATCATAATTATATTATCATTTTAAGGCTACTGATATTGACACTGGAATTTATGAAAACATTTCCATTGAAAGAAAGACAGTATAATACTAGGTATTAGGTTGAACCATGTGAAATTGACAATTGCTATACCAGCGGTAGGGGCAGTGACTTGGTGGGGCCTATCCTATATCATGTCATAGCCCGTGTTAAATACAATTTACTTATACAACATTCTTTGAATGGCAAGTAATTAGTTAACATTGTATTTTTATAGATATTTATGTAAATACATTGATTTATGCTTTGAAGTCTTTTAAAATACACGAAAACACTTAAAAAAAAAGAAAAAACAAATTTGCCGAGAGAGACTTTCCTACCCCTCAAAACTTTCAAATCAGTTATTAGCAAAAGCAATACAAGTAGTACGGAAAAGTTGAGAACCTAGTTCCATTATATGGCATCTAGTCAACACAGCCTCTTAAGGCCTTGGCTTCTCCTTCTGTAGACTGGGAATATTTGTGCTATTTCTATAGAGATTTTGTGAAGATGAGTGTACATTCAAAAGTTTGAACCATAACACACCCAGGTATTAATTCAACTAGACTATGCCACTTCAGAAAACATTAGCATCCAACATTTCATTTTAATTATGTCTTTTAAAGAAAAACTGGATGTAAAAGACTAGCAAATTCATGCAATCATGCGATCATGCAAATGATTATCAAAACTGATCTTGATAATATTCTCGAGTATTAGAAGGACTAAGTAAATACATAGTGTTTTGTCATTAAAAATCGTACCTTGTCAAGATGAAATGAATGTGACAGCTGGAAGAGTAAGAACCACTGTGTGTACAAGTGCTTCAAACTTCACGATCTTAGGTTTATACCAGAAATCACATATATTAGAACGATTTACAAGGAAGAGAGAAATTGCTCACTTCCTTCCTTGGAAGTCTTTAATATGGGTGGAGAAAATTTTATTTTGGTGTGGTTCTGCTTAAAGACGTGGATATAAACTTTATAGTCTCCTAAAGCCATTTTCAGATCAATGGCTTTAATGATTCTAAGAAGGAACAGTTTTCTTTTGCCTTCAAGGGAAGTTGTTCTCCTGTGATCTACACCAAGGTGATTGGCTAGTAAGGGAGGGTGATGTGTTTGGACCCGCTACTAGTCGAGGTGGTTGTGGCTCAGTTCCAATCTGGAAGATTTTTTCCCTGTGTAGGGAACTTCGGTCAATGCAGGGCACCTGGGGAGGGTCAGCTTTAGTCAGCCTCAAACGCGCTGTTGGTAGCTCCCACATATTCTGACTTCTTCTTGTGCCTTGTCCACATTTTTCGTAGGATGCTAGGGACACCGCAGGAGGCACTTCCTGTCAGTGGAAGGGAGGCTTCTGCTCCTTGGGGAAGTGTTGGATAGTCTTCAGTCATCTTCTTGAGATGTCTGGATCTAAAAGGGTGGGGGTGAAGGGGGCAATCACTTTACTGAGTCAGACTCTTAATTTCTGCCCCTGAGTAGAGTCACCTGAGCTCTACTTCCTCCTGTGACAGGAGCCCTGTGGTAGAATTCTGCTTCCTACTTACTGTGTGACTTCTGGCAAGTAACTTAACTTGATCACCATCAGTTTCTTCATGTGCAAAATGGGGATAATTTCATGTGACTCATGGAACTTTGGGAAGGAGGAAAATGAGATAAATAATCTGATACATTGCAAGCCTCACTAAATGTTCATTTCCATCCTTACTTGCTCTCATTAGATGAAAGACTCAGTCTTTTTTTTTTCCCCCAATAGCCAGGGTCCAGGAACAGATTGAAATGAGACTGTCTGAACTTAGAAAGAAAGGTGTCTTTTAGAATTGTTTGCAATATGGATCCAAGAGATTGATCTCCATTAAGACAGTAAAGTTTTTCTTGGCTTATTTCCATACTCAGCAGCAAGTATTACTGCTCAGAACAATTTGCTACTAGGATTTAATACAATTCAAACAAGTTTTTTGCCTTTATCCAGTGCATTGAGTGACTTGCTTTTTATAATTCTTTCTAGATGACTTTCATCTAGTAGGACTTTACATCAATCTCTCCCTCCCTTGTTCCCACACAAATTTCAATGTGTGTGCCACTGATATTTTAGCCTACGGTCCTCATACATGCACATTTGACATGTTCCCAAATATATATTTTTCTGTCTACTGGATATTAAGTGTTTTTTGAAATATGATAGCATAGTTTGTGCTAAGTTCTTCACACATTACTTCATTCAATGCTGACAATAACCCCTGAGCAAGGGTACTATTAGCATCCTTTCTTTTTTTAATGAAGACATGGAGGTTTAACTAAATTGCCTAAAGTCATAGCAAATTATTAGTAGTGCCAGCCTAGCAAGCAGATCTGAGCCAAGAGTCCACACCCTTCATCATCCCTAAGCCACTTTTCTGCTCCCTGCAGTATACAGGACTGTGGTGAAGCATAAATGCATATGTGAACTGAATTGGAGAGTCTTGCTAGCCATCTTCTTAGTGAGGTGAGGGGGTTACTGGGTGATTTACTCTCTGCTATTTTAGCTGCTGGTTCTGCATTAGAGTAAATAGTAACACAGGGGTTATAAATTTAAAACCCTGTATTTTATGTACTTCTTTACCTTTGGGTAGGGGCACTTACCCTATTTCATAAGGCATTTCTGACTTAGGGTGCCTACAGGAGATTCTGAATATGGTCTGTAATTAGATTCATCTAATTAACCTAAACCCTACCGGATGATGCCTTCCAGGTCTAAAGACCAGCATTAATGAAAGGGAAATCATCAAAACCACTTCCGTATAATCCCGATGCTACAGAGGCCCAGGTTGTTGCCCTCAATAAAAGGTAATTTACAACTAGTATGGATTTTTTTTTTTTAGCATCTTGAGGGTCTGTAAACCCAGCTATCTAGTGCGCTTCTGCCTAAGAGCAGGAGTGGGTGGGGAGCCCTGTGGGTGGCAGGGCTGGGAAGTACAGGTCTTACCCTCTTGTCAGGACTGCTCCATTCTCTGAGCCTGTGGCTGCCGCCTCCTGGAGGGCAGGAGCTTTCACTGAGATCCGGGCAACAGGAGGGATCTGTTTTGTGAGAAGGGGAAGGGAATGTGAGGCTGTAGTTATGTTCCCAGCTCTGGCACTGACTGGAGCCATCTGAAAAGGGGAAGGCTAAACCTACGGCCACAGTCCTCACAATTTTGTGGGCATCAGAATCCCCTGCGGGCTTGTTAACACAGTGCAGGTGCCACTCTAGCTTCTTTTTCTTTAAAGATTTATTTATTTGTTTATTTGTTTGTTTGTTTGTTTATTTATTTATTTATTTATTTATTTATTTATTTATTTATTTATGCAAGCACTGGGTACAGTCAGAAGCGCGGGAGGGTGAGAGAATTCACCAGAGCCAGAGCGGGGAACAGAACAGGCAGACTGATGAAATACACTGCTGAGGGGAGCAGCGGGTATGGCAGGAGAGGTCTGCACGCCATGTGGGACCCTCCCCAGCAGGCGGGGATTGAACCTGCGCTGCAGAGGCTGTGGGCAGCTTCACAGCAGCGCTCAACTGCTGCGCCACAGGGGAGGCCCTGCTCTAGTTTCTGATTCAGCAGTTACAATGTGTGACTACAGGGCAGACTGAGGCTAGGTTGGCAGCCTGTTCTTTAAAAGTCCTAGAAAAAGGACTCCACTTTATCTACCAACGTGGCCTTCTGTACATGTACATGTACCCGCAGTTCCAGTCCCAGCAGGGTAGGTCTTACCTTCCCCAGTGCTCATGCCCAACTTCTCACCTTTACTCAGGTATTCCTTCACTTCATGCTGAGCTTCATCTCTGCCTGCCTTTCAATGCCACTTCCTCCGGGAAGCCTTCCCTCGGGTTGGTGGCCCAAGTTGGTTTCTCTGTCCTCACAGTACTGAGCACTCAAGTGATATGTTCTGGCATCCCACTGATTCTATCCAATTATGGTTCTCCACTTGTTTCACATGCTTGTTCAGTGTCCTAGTCCCCAAAAAGGTCGCAGGACTGTGGCAGTCTGGGACTTAATCCTGCCGGTGGCCCTCCTCAGCTCTCCTAAAGGAGGCGGCAAGTGCTCAAGAAACATGCACTGAATTGAAAATTAACAGATGGCTTAACTAAGTCTAAGTCCAGAGTCCGCTCAGTCAATGAACACAAACTTTGCTTTGTTTCTCTACCCCAAGTCCCATAGAAGGCTTAAGGTTACCACATTCTTGGAATTGCTGGGAAATTCCAGGTCAAGAACCGTGATTAACCATCCCTGTTCTCTCCAGTTAGTCAAAGGTTGTGGGTAGAGTTACTGTGCCACCTTGTGGCCTCTTGGGAGCTCTCCCTCCTCATCAAGCCAATGGGGGGTGGTGGGGTGGTGGAGGGTGTGAGGGGGGTGGGTAGGGGGGTTAGAAAGGGACGTACACCTACGCCCTCCTTAGCTCAGGAGGAAAGACCCGTCTTCCCCACTGCCTGGAATCTAATTTCCTCTAGAGCACTTCCGTATTGAATCAGATTTAGCTGTGCAGGTCCTGCATTGCTCTCCCACCCTGGAATAATAGGGCCTCAATGAACCACAGGATCCTAGCCCTAAGGTCTTGGGTCCCAAGGAAACTGTCAGTCACACTGCCTCTTCATCCACTGTGTTATTATTACCCTCCTCTCTTTGTACCCATGTCCACACCATCACCCTATTGCATCCCAACTCACTCTGGGCTCCCAGCTATAGCTCCCTCTCTGCAAGGGCCCTGAACCCTGTCCAGTGGACAGAAGCAAGTAATTCACCCTCGTCTCCTTAGCCTTGGTCTTCCTCTGGGCTCTGCTGTTCAAGATGTCACAGGCTTACACCCGTCCCTCTGTGGCAACAGCACAGCCACCCTCAGTTTCTTAGTACTAGGTTGGGGCCGGGGCTCCTAACACAACTGTATGCCCCCTTCCTGACCTTTGTGCTGTTTTCCTAGTACATGATGACCTAAATGGAAACCCTGGATTAGAATTCTTGCCTAGGCCAGGCAAAGTGCTCATATATCTGCCCATTTTGTTCCATAAGGATGTGGAAGGGGTTGGCCCAGACAATCTCCCCGGTCTTTCTTAGGTCTCATGTGGTGTGATCCATGAATTTTGAGAGTTAAAGCCCAGGATGGTGGAACCAACTTCACCTACAGCCACAAATCCAGCCTTACTGGGTTTCCCTAGAGGGTGAGGCATTCTTGCACAGAAGAGAGAGATGCATTTTTCCCAGAGGGATGCTGAGCTAGACCTGCATATGGGCCACCTGATCCCCCTTTAGGTAAGGACCAGTGTGGGGCAGGCAGTGAGTGACTCTCAGTTTCTTTTGGTGTGCAGAGACTGTGGAGGGTTACCTGACCCAAGGTCATGAACTTCAGTGTCAACTCACATGTCCTGATAGAGTGAGGAGGAATCATTAAGGCTTAGGCATGTAGGTCCAACTTTGGATGATGAGAGTGGGCCATACTTGCCCCAGGGCTCTCATGGAGGTTTGGGGCCTGCATGGCCATTCAGAGGGTCCCTCTGGCCAAACCCTTCTCCTGTCATGGGTGCTGATCCCTAACATACAGCTCAGTGCCTGCTTCTGGAGAAGCTGGCCTGTAGCAGAGGTCCTCCAGAGATGTCCCTCTTGAGATGGCAGGTGTTTCATGTCACAATGCTTGAAATGCTCACGTCTCTACCCCTGTAGGTGCCTCCTGGAAATTAGTCAAGCATTTGTACCTGGAAGAGGCCTGCCATAGAAGCCACTTCTTTCCCCCCAATACTTGAGGTGTCTGCTAGGTCATACCTCTTTTAGTTCGCCCGAGGAGCTGAGTTTCTGGCAAGAAAGAGAGCAGCAGCTAGTGGTGTGCCACAAGCTGGGAGATTTTAGGAACAAAGAACTATCAGGGATGCTTTCTAATAATCCTCAGCTGAGAACAAAGGACACTTAGTCTCTCTTCCTGGCACAGACAGGGCAAGAAGTTTAAAGCCCAACAGACACAGTTAACCAGGCTCATTTTACTTACCAAAGATTTTCCATATGCTCGATTCCCACACAGATTTGATGATTTGGGTTCAGAAATCCCCACTGCAAAGTTGAAAAAATAAGACATTACTCAGTGGTACTCTGTGTTCTGCCTCCCCCTAGTTTTGCATCAATTATCTTGTTAGCTAATCAATCACATACAGGGAATTTCTAAAGGCCTTTGTACCAAGTAGCAAAATCAGGCAGCAGGGTTAGGCAAAGGAGCAACTGCCTAGTGGGTCACCAGCACCCCAGCACTCTTCTGGGAGGACTAGAACTAAGGTCTAATAATATTATTTGTGGGGAAGCATTTGGCACTTTGTCTGGGCACAGAAGGTGCTCAGAGAAAGTTCCTTCAGGACCTCCTTCCTTTCTAAGCGTTCTAAGATCAAGAATTCAGTCTTCATAGCTGGGCTCAATCATTTAACCTATTGCTCCTGGCTACCCCTCTGTGAAAATGAGCAGAGAAGTCCTGTCTGGAGTGAGAAGCATAGCCTCACAACTGGAAGGATGGAGGTTACCAGAGTTCCTGAGACATTGGCTACACGAGAATCCTATTGATAATGCCATTACAGGTTCCCCCCACCCTAAATACACACCCAAATGTACAGTATTCCTATTTGGTTATGTTTTGGGTGTGGGAATGCTCAAAATTTTTTCTATGTAAATTAATGGTGACAGAGTTCCAGACCCCAAAGATAATCTCCCAAATCATACCAAATAAGAACATGTCACTTTTGAATAGCAGGGAAAGCCAGTATTCCTGATGCCTGAATTGCTTCTGAGACATTTCTATCCTGAAGCCTATAGCTTCTGAGAATCCAGGTGTTGAGCTGAGGGAGCCAGTAATATGTGGGGGAAAGTTGACTTTTAATATAGTCCTCTCTTGGGACAGATGTTCCAGGATGAGCCCTATTTTATCATACTCTGGTATATAGAAATAACTCCCTTCCCTCCATGGCCAAGGAAGACAACATCTTGATACCAGTTAAATGAAAAATTTAAAACTTATCAAGATAAAGTTATGATGTACAGTGTTCTAGCATATGTAATAATAGCTTGCATTGGGAGTACCTGCTAAGAGCACTTAAAATGAATAAACATTGTCTTGTTTAATCCTCACCACAACCCTAACAGGTAGACATCAAAGTAGTGCCCTCTTTCTAGATGTGGAAACTAAAACTCTAGAGATAAGAAAACAATTATGATAAAGCCAGGTATGGACATCCTAACAAATGTCAAATTGACCTATTTCGTGGTCTTGCAGGACTGGGAAAACTTTACTTAGGGACCCTCCCTAACCCAGTATGGGAGGAGTTTGCCAGGTGGAGAGACTAAACAGTGTCAGCAAAGGTTTGAGAAAATAGAATATCATGGGATAGTTATAGCTCAGGGTGTCTCTGGAATGCATTGGCGGGGACAAGAGGGTCCTGGGAGATAACCCTGGAGAAGTGAGCAGAGAATGGGTTTTGGAGGGCTTTGAGCATGATCTGAAGTGGCTGAGAGTGGAGAGGACATAGTATTAAAGCAGAGACTGAAATGGCAGATTTCTGCTTCAAAAGGACTCTTTGTGGGAGATGGCTGGCGGCTGAGGGCCAAGGTTGGCTGCTGCACTCCAGAGTTGAAGGAAGTCCCAGGCCAGGTAGTGTGAGCTGGTACCAACAGGGAGAGAAGAGGCATATCTAGGAATTGACAGTATTTAGTGTGTGAAGTGGCAGGTAAGGACAAGTGGCAAGTAAGGATGTATTAGAAACATCCTGGCAGCTTGCTGAAAAGATGGATTAGTGACTCTTGATGTGAAGGGAAGAGATTTGAAGGTGGAAGACAAGTTCTGTTTGATCAAATTGATGATGAGGACATCAAGGTAGAGAGATCTTGCAGGGACTCAATTCTCCCAGGCCCAGAGGTAGTTGTCCTTTCAGGCGTCAAGGATTGCTGCTCAAGGGCTCACAGTGAAGAGTTTCTCAGCGGGGCCTCTACCTTGAGAGTCCTTGCAATTTCCAAGAGTCCTCAGAGCATTTTTCTTCCCACATGAGAAGGCTACAGCGTCAGGAACTTTCCCTTAGAGCTCAGAAAAGAAACCAGCTCCCAGATCTCACATCCCTGGAGACTCACATCCTTCTGACTTGAGGAATGGAAGGCCCAAGATCAGTGCCAAGCCTTCCCCGTGGAGAAAGAGCAGTGGGTCTGGCTTTGACTCAGAATCCCTCCCTCTCTCCTACTGCCTCTGAAGCCTGTCAGATTGGGGGAACTGATGGAATTGAATCCATGCCCAGCTCAATCTTCTTCTTTTTTTTTTCTTTCTTTCTTTTTTTTTTTAAAACCTGACTGACTAGCACATCCCCTGCATGAGGAACTGACTGTCACGTGTTGGGAAGATTCTCTCTACTTCATAATTTACTGATAAACTAACTCAGTCTAATCTTCCACAAGCTACTTAGAAAGGGAAGAAAGTAGCCCCTAAAACCAGAGCGTTGGGAAGATGTTCTTCTCTGGGAGAAAAAGGCATTAGAGAGGAAATTAGGAGATCTGAGATTTAATTTTCAGTTCTGTTGTGAACGAGCACTGCAATCTTAGTTTCTATGGTTGCAGTTTCCTCTTCTGTAACTTGGCAGGGGGTGATTGCGGATCAGCAGTTCTCTACCTTTAGCATACATTGGCATCACCTGGGAGGTTTGTTAAGCCATAGACTGCTGGGCTCCACCTCAAAGTCTCTGATTCAATAGTTCTGGGGTGGGATCCCAAATTTGCCTTTCCCAGCAATTTCTGTTGTGATTCTGCTGCTTCAGAGACCCTACATTGAGAACCACCCATTATATCATCTCTAAATCCTTACTAATCAATATGTTGTTCTGGGACAACATCTGGAAGTGTCTTGGAAACAAAATCTGGGACTCTAACCAGTCTTATTTAGAATCTGCGTATAAACTCATCAGAATCTGCATACAAACAAGGTTCCTATGTGATTCTTTTGCACATTAAAATTTGAGGTACATGACTCTAAATTCACTTTAAGATTATGTAGGTAAGGAGATTCTCTGATGACTCAAGGGGCTCAGTCTCAGCACTATCAAGCTATCAACTGCCACTGCAGCATAAGTTCGATTCCCAACCAGGGAGCTGACCCACATGGTGCAGCAGACTTCTCCTGTCTGGCCTGCTACTCAGCAGTGTATTTTATTTAACCTGCCTGTTCTGTTCCCCACTCTATCTCTCGCGAACCCTCTCACTGCCCCTGCACCTCTGACCTACACCCTAGCTCTTGTATGCATTAATAAATAAGTCTTAAAAAAAAGATTATGTAGTTAAGATAAATACTCTTTTTCTCTTTCTACATACACATGCACCCACCCACCCACCCAAATATAGAAACAGAGAACATTATATCTCCTTTTAATTTGCAAGGCAGATTGTGGTTTTCCTAATGTTTTCATTCGACTGACATATGTGTATATATAATCACTCAGCTAGAGAATAGATCTTGATTTTTGTGTTCTTATATGTAGGCACATAAGACTAGGATAAGTTGCTAGTGATCAAAGAAACCTTAGCAACCAGTGTCCATGAAGAAAGGAGAAGATGGATGGATGAAGTGACATATTTAAAGGAGCCTTATTATCAGTTCTTGTAACATGCAAAATTGTGAACATCCAAAAACTTTAAGGACATCCTAGGGCTTCCCTGGTGGTGGAAGGGTTTAAGATGCAACCCCTGAAACCACTGCAGCATGAGTTTGATCCCCGGCCCACCAGGGAGCTATCCACATGGTGCAGCAGACCTCTCCTGCCGCGCCTGCTGCTCCCCTCAGCAGTGTATTTCAGTCAGTCTGCCTGTTCTGTTCCTCACTCTGTCTCTGGTGAATCCTCTCACCTCCTGTACCTCTGGCCTGTATCCCAGTTCTTGTATGCATAAATAAATAAATCTTTAAAAAAAAAAAAGAACATTCTAGCTTTCTATTGTGTATCTTTGGAGTTAAAATACACAACGTTAGGCTGGGGGCATAACAGGAGTTATCTAAGCCAGCAATTAAAGCAAAATATCCCAAACTTCAGTGGGCGAGACCCAGATTTTTGTAACTCGGGGTAGAAGTCACTTTTAAAAATAGTGTTCAAGGTAAGATGATCGAGTTTGTAATTTTCAAAACAGATGTGTCCTAAGTTCTTTTTATAGATTGTTGAAATAGACTGTCATTCAAATTTAAAACGGTGAGAATTTAAGATGGCAGTATATGAAGTGTCTGTATAACCACACAACGTACATTCTGCCTGTAAAATAAAATAAAAAAAAATTCAAGCTTCTTTTGCACCCGGAGTCATGTCGTTGCTGCTTTTCTCTTCCCCAGAACAGAGTGGTTTCATCTCCTTCTGAATCCAGTAGGGCTTCCTGTGAGCAAGACGGTAGATGATAACATCTTTGCTCATCGCACACCCAGAAGGGAGTGTTTTATAGGTAGAAAGTGTTATGTGCTGCTGCTGTAGCTGGGGTCGAGAGCAGGTGCTTAGAGTAGGAACCACATCGTCCCAATGCCACCGTGACAGGGACGCCAGCGAGGACACAGCAGAGAACACACAAGCCAGGACATACACCCTACCTGGCTTCTCAAAGTGGATCATCATCCCCTCACTTCCTGCCCCAGCCCCCGGGAGGTTCCTGGCCTCCAGCTGTATGGATGCACTTACCAGACCTGGTGGGGACTTTCGCCTGGTGTGGTCCTGGCTGCCTTGTGGTCTGGAACCTGCTGGACCTGCGGGCCTCTAAGTCGCTGCGGTCCCTACGGTTAGGCAGCAGCTCCAAGGGCCTGGGGGCGTAGAGGTCTGACTCGATCACCACCTGAAGGGGGGAAAAATGCCACTTAGCTGGTTCCCTTCCTTGGTCTCAGGACCCAGGCCCAGGCTGAGGACCAGGACTGCAGCATTTCTGATAGATCTGTACAACCAGGGAATTTTTGAGCCTGCCTTATTCCAGTGAATGTCAGAAGCAGTGAGAAAACTTGGGGGTAGGACACTGGCCAGAAATAGTTGGCTGTTCAAAATGTCAAGTGATGCCATGAAGTAGGAAAATCAAGCTATTGGGGATTTCTCATCAGCAGTTCCTTCTTAGAGTTAGAAACCTGGGCCATAAGACCCCAAATCCAGGGAAGTCATCAGCCCCAGGGGTTGATGTGGCTTCATACAGAGCAGGCTATTTGAAAAGAGGCGTGTTCTGGAAATCTGGATCTCACAGTCTTTGTATCAAAGTGGACTCCCTTGTTTGTTCAGAGGAGGCTTTAGCAGAGGAGGCTTTTGCTCAGAGGAGGCTTTAGGAAGACCTACAGTTTCTGGGTTCTTTAATTTTGAAAAGAAGGAAACTGGTAGCAAAACAGAGCAGTCTCAGTTCCCAAATGATCCTTTTCTTCCACCTTGCAGCAGAGTGCATGGGTCAGGGTGGAGCTGAAAGAGGAATGGCCACTATATGTGATTCAAAAGGTGGAAATCCCTGTAAGCCAGAACAGAGTGCTACATGCCAAGGCATTTTTGGTAATGGCACCTTGTTGAATAGTTATTTAGTGTAGCCTATTAAGAGAAAATATGCTTTTTGTTATGGTCCACCAAAATGGGCCTTAACAATTATAATAAAGTACTCAAATTATTGAAACCATTTAAATGTAAAAACTGGATAATGCTGTATTTTATCTTAGTACAAGGAGTGAGGAAGGGAATCTTTGCAGTTTTTGGCCCCTGGCCTGCTTGTTTTATACATGTTCAGGATATGGGGGTAATTCAAGCTGAATTTCTTCACTCCTTTGAAGCTGGAGGTTAGACGCTCCAATATTACACTGAGGCTTCTTTGAGGTCTGCATTCACATACTGGCTTGCTCTTTTCTTCAGCAGATACCTTGTGAGGCGCCATCTCTGCCAGATCCTGGGCTCTGGGAATGTGTTTGTGAGTGAGGTGAATCCATCTCAGCCCTTACAGTCCAGCCTTTGATGGATCCTTCTCACTAGTACGCAAATAACCATGTGTTACTTTTGGAGGACGCTGAAGCAGGTAAGACTGAATTTTCAAAACCATCATAATAGGGTGATATTTCAATTCAGTGTAGAAAAATGGGCCCTTTAATAAATATTGTCGGAATAAATGTCAGGCCACTGGGAGAAATGGATCCCTCACCACACTTCTCATACCAAAGTGAGTAACAAGTAGATCAAAAATACTTGTAAGAACTGGTCCAACCACTATGGAGAGCTGTGTGGAGATGTCTTGACCTGCTAAACATAGAGCTTCCATATGATCCAGCAATTCCACTCCTAGGTATTTACCCAAAGGACACAGAAACATCAATTCCAAAGAGCATCTGCACCCCTATGTTTATAGCAGCACTGTTTACAATAGCTGAGCTTTGGAAACAGCCCAAATGCCCAAAAATAGATGACTGGATCAAGAAGATGTGGTACATATACACCATGGAATATCACTCAGCATTCAAAAAAGATAAACACATGCAATTTGCAGCAACATGGGTGGTGCTGGAAGGGATCATGCTCAGTGAAATAAGCCAGAAAGAAAAAGAAAAATATTGGATGGTCTCACTCATAGCAGGAATCTAGAAAACCTATATAAGGGACCAGGAAAAAGAATAACTATAAGAAAGAAAATATCAAAATCAACAAACAACTATGAACCTGAGACACTCTATGAGGGGTGGGGGCGGGGAAAGGAGGGCTTGGGGTCAAAATAAGGGGGTTGTAATTGTATGGGGAATATAAAAATAAAATTTAAATAAAAAATACTTGTAAGAGTTAATTCATGAAAACCTGGAATTGAATATAGTCCAATACAATGCTTATTACATATAATGGGAAATTATCTGTATGTACATAGAACCCGTACAAATCAAGAAAGAGGAAAAACCAATAGAAGCCGCCCTCAGTCACTGGGAAAAAAATTTAATAAACATGTCTGGGTATGAATGTTAACTAGAAATATCGTGGTGATTATTTCATAATCTAGATGAACTTCAAACCTTTTAAGTTGTACACATGAAACTAATATAAGGTTATATATCAGTTATACCTCAATAAAAAAGAAATAGAGCAATGGGGACAACATGAGCTAGCAACTGACAGTAGAAGTACATATGACCAAGAAACAGGAAAAGATGCCGAATAGCATCCAAAATTAAATAAATGCCAATTAAACAATAATTGTTTTGTTCCCTTTATCAGGTTGTCAACGAAGAATGACTTCGTTTGGGATCAAGCAGACCTGAACTCAAACCCCAGTTCTGATACTTTGGATTATCTGGACAGGGGTAAGTCCTGCTTATCTTGGCTATATCGGGCTGTAGTAAATGTCTACATTAGTGAAGATTTTAGCAGCACAGCCTGCTCTCTTTCTTCATGCTTCATATTTATCTATAGCATCAACAAGCAGTTCGTGTCTCCCAAAGAGGAAAATAAGAGAAGCTGTCATTCTTAGTTTAGAAAATTAATATCTCAAATTTGGCCTTATCTGGGTTAAAAAATTAACTCTTCTCAGACCGATTTTTGGACCCATACCCAGACTTATTCATTCTGTGCCTTGGAAGAAAGCTGATGATCATTCAGGAACATTTATGATCAGTTCCCTTTCTCTTCTGGGTGCTACAGAAGGTGCTATTTCTGTTAGGTTTTCAGCAAGCCTTCAGGGCAGGCTGGGAGTCTCTCCCCTTTTCCTTCCTTCCTCTTAACACTATGCTCTGCCAGGATATTATGCAGAGGACTGGAATTTCCTGGATTAAAGGTAGTTCATTCTTAGACTGACATACTGCCTGGCCTAAGGGCCCTACCCTTAGGCCTATGAATGTAAATCTCTAGCTTGAGCAGGAAAAATCTGAGCTTCTTTACCTGACACCGAAAGGGTTTTAGATAATGGTCTTTCACAGATATTTCTTATTTCATTTTGATGTTTTCAGGATCCTTTCAAGAAAGGAGGTGTGGGGAATGGTGTGTTTTTAGACCCACTTTGATGAAAGAGAAAGTAAGGTGGATGTGAAGCTGGAGAAGTCCCCGGGGAAGAGCCAGCATTTCCTCTTCTGGAAGGGAAGCAAATGTTTCCTTTCAGGGACAAGAAACACCACTGTTGTAATTCTTTCTCTGCATCTGGGTGTGGGAGAAGAGAGAGGAAGGAATGGGTGGCGAGGCATTAACTGCTCAGCCCAACATCTGGATGTAGGGAGAGGAGGAGAGGAAATGAGGCTGGCTACTTCCCAAGTCATGACTAGTGCGTCTTCAGGGTATCTTCTCCAGACCCCAGAAAGATCCTTATAGAGGGAAAGGAAAAAGGAGAGGGCCTGACTGGGAAATTTTCCTTTCGTAGGTAGCCTGGTGTTTGGTTCTTATTTCCCACAATGATGAGGCTGCTCATGCCAAGGCTCCTGGGCTGTACATTAGACCCACACTAGGGAACAGACAGCTAGAGATGGAACAGTGTGTGGCTGTGCCCTGGGTTCAGTAGAAATTTTTTTTTTTCATAGGATGCTACAGAGAGGGGAATCTCTGACAACAAAGCTGTGCAGAGAGGAAAGAAAATTTGGAATGGAAGAAAACTGACAGAGACATGGTAGCCCAATAGGTAAGAATAGATACTAAGAAGAACTTCAGCCAAAGGAAGTCATAAACGTTGGTCCATTCGAGTACTGAAAAATAGGGGCAATTTTCTTGGGCAAGAAAATCAACCACAATTGCTTTCAGACAACCAAGTTAGAGAAGACAAAAGAGAACTCAAAGGGAAGTGGAGAGCTAGTTGCATGAGGAAAGAAGATCCGAGACAGTATTTCCTCTTTGGGACTTATTTTTCCATCTGCAAAATGATGGTCTCTTCTAATTTGAATATTCTGTGCAGCTGGGGCTGAGATTTATAAGCAAAGGATGCGCTAGGCTGTTAAGGGAAATCAGCTATTCAGAGAAATCAAAGGCTAGAGGGGATTTCTAAACTGTCTCACCTTTGATGATAAAACCCTAGCTTCATATTTTTGTTATTAAAAGCAATTTTTATATGTATTCATATACTAAAGTCATATCTTTTTCTTCTGAGTGAAAGTATTTTTGGGAAGAAAAGTCATAAACTATGAAGATGGCAATCTTCATCAAAAATTTCTGCTCCTGGGATCCTGAGGGTGTGACTCAGGGAGACTGTGCCCCAGGTTTTGTCAGCTTTGTGTATCTAATGCCAGTGACTTCACTGTCACCACTGAGAACTGTCTCTTTTGTTTATATTCAACATCCCCTAGAAATTATAATGATTTTGTTTTCATTTTAAAAGCTTTCCTGGCCATCAGTTTATCCTTATAAAGCCAGTGTTGGGATAATGAGTGATTCAGAGAGGCATGAGGTTAAATATTCAAGGCAAGAACTTGGTAGAGGACTAAATATTCTTATTTCTCAAATTCCTGAGTTGTGAATAATTTGTGCTCCTTCAAATTCAGAATAATGCCAAACTCAAGCTCTTGACCTAAAGTTCTATTGTGAAACTTTTCTTAAATTCTCCATCACTTACAGATAACCCCTTCCCTTTCCTTTCTGTTTCTACCCACTCCCCAAATACTCCCCAAGAGTATTTTTCTTCAAGACTGTGGATTTAAGTTTTCAAGGATCACAAGGAAGATAATTTCTTCCATTACAACAATGTTCCATCCATCAGAAACTCTTTTCTCCTTGTATAAAATATTCCTCACAGCCATTTGAGGAATGGCTTTCAACATGATCAGTAAGTCTATGAAAAGATGAAGAGTCATATTAGTAAGTAAAGAAATGTAAATTAAAACAATGCTTTCACCTATTAGATTGTCAATCATTAACAACGTTGATATGTAACATGTCAATTATATCTCAATTAAAAAAAGAAAGAAGACATTTAGTCAGATGATAGGAACATTAAAAATCTCTATAGCCACTGCCAAATTGCTAGTAACTTCCCCCACCCCCCCACCCCACATCCCTTTTGTTAAGAGGCACTAGCAATTTGGCAATGGCTATAGAAGTTTTAATGGTCACGTCATTTGACTAAATGTCTTCTTTCTTTTGACAGAGACATAGTTGACGTGTTATATTTATTGGTGATATGGTTAAATTATGAATTTAGAGAGCTTCAAATTTGGTTTGGGTAAATAAATTATAGTACATTTATACAATGGTGTATTATATAGCCATTATAAAGAGTGGAGTAGATGTATGTAAAGATGTTCAAGATTTACTGTTTAGTAAAAAAAGCAAATTGTAACAAAGCATGTTATCAAACATAAAGTATAATTTTTTTAGTATATGGAAAATTTTCACTGAAAAATGCCAATGTTATTGAATGCATAGCATGTGTTAGGCTGTGGACTAAGCACTATGTATATGTTAAATCATTCATTTCTTCCAGTGGTTCATGATATATGTGCTCTTATTATCCTCATTTTAATGCTAGGGCAGTTGAGTCACAGAATGGTTAGGTCCAAGGTCACATAGGTAGATATAAACTGGGACTTAATTAAGCTCAGACAGTTTGTCTCAGGAGACAGCATTTCAGGATTTTCTGATGCTATATTTTATATCTTTGTCATGTTTGAGATTTTATAATGGGCACATAGAATTCTGGGAATTTAAAAAGTAATAAATGTATATAAAAACAGCAATGACAGGGCCTCTCTGGTGGCACAAGGGGTTAAGTCTCAGCACAATGAAGCTATCAGCAGCCACTGCAGCACAAGTTCGATTCCTGGACAGGGAGCTGACCCACACGGCCCAGCAGACCTCGCTCATTAGCTGCTCCCCTCAGCAGTGTATTTCAGTCAATCTGCCTGTTCTGGGCCTCCCCTGGTAGTGCAGTGGTTGAGCACTAGGCTGCGAAGCTGCCCCCAGCCTCTGCAGTGCCAGTTCGTTCCCAGGCCACCAGTGAGGGTCCCACATGGGGCGCAGAACTCTCCTGCCACGTCTGCTGCTCCCCTTAGCAGTGTATTTCGTTGGTCTGCCTGTTCTGTTCCCGCTCTGGCTCTGGTGAATTCTCTCACCCTCCCGTGCTTCTGACTGTACCCTGTGCTTGTATAAATAAATAAATAAATCTTTGGGAAAAAAAGGGCAACTGTTAAAAACTAAAATTAAAAAAAAAAAAAATCTGCTGTTCTGCTCCTGGGTCTGTCTCTGGTGAATCCTTTCCCCCTCCCCCACACCTCTGGCCTATACCCCAATTCGTGGATGCATAAATTAAAAAAAAATCAATCTTTGGGGGAAAAAAACAGCAATGACAAGTTTCCATCTAATTACCAGGACACTTAAAAAGATTTTTTTTTTGAAAATGGAGAATAGGATTTTAAAAATTGAGATGCTTATAAGTCAAAACTGTGTTCTATGAAAATTGCCAGAGAAATAGAAACTCCAATATTACCAAGAAGAAACAATAAGCAGTTTAAAATAAATCTTTGAAATTAAAATACAAAGATGCATTAACAACTTTTATAACGCGAAATCTGTATATAAAATGAAAACTTCACAGCATCATTAAGCTCTCAAGACATGCAAATTAATTTAAAGGTAATGCATATGCTTATTAAAATAGCAAAAGATATTGCAAAAAGTAAAAGTTAATGTTGGTGATATTAGACATAAATGGAAAAACATTATTTCAGCAACTGTTCAGAATTCCTAGTAATATGTAAAAAAAAAGTAAGCAGAAATAATTAAAAAAAAATTCCACATCTCGCACAGAATCTCTCATAATAGTAAGAAGGCAAATATTTGATGAATGGGTGGATAAAAGAATGGATAAATGGATGGATGGATGGAATTGTTCTTATTTTTTAACTGTTAATTTTACTTTGAGGTCTATGCATCAAGAAATTAACCCAAAAGAAAAGAATAATATTTTGTACAAATGAATTCATTGCACTGCGATTTAAAATAGTGGGAAAAAATGTAACATTGTAAAGGCCAAAAATAGGAGAACACCTAGGTCAGCGATGCTATAAACACATCATTGACTATGCTTGCATAACAAAAAAAAAAGTGATGGTAGGTATAGATATAGATAGATAGTATAAGATTTAACCTCTGTGTTCAGGGGGAAATGTAGAAGAGGAGGTCCAATTCAGAGCTGTTTGGTGTTTGTTGACATTGGTTAATTATTTTGGTCAACTGGAGGACAGAGAATTTAACAATAATGACATAAGATATAGAAAACTTCCTGGTTATGGAGAGCAGGGAGAGAGAGTGAAGAAACTAGACTTTGCTTTTTTAACTGACTATTATCAAAAGGATCAAAACTGAAGTGCCTTACATTCTTGGTCAAGATGTGTTGAGAACTTTTGACTCTTCTTCTGCCTGGACTGGACACTGCAAAGAGAGAGAAATGGTTTTAGAGAAGGCCTGTGAGGCTGATGTAGCTACAATAACAATCCCAGAATGGGGCAGGAATATAGACAAGGGGGAAAGAACGAAGAGGTGGGGTGCAATGGCAATTTTAGGTGTTACATGGTCAAGTGCACCAAAGTTCATAGCAGCATTATTTGTAAGAGCCAAAATGTGGAAAGAACTCAAAGGTGGTAAGTGGACAAAAAAAAATGTGCCACATACCTAATATTTTCCAGCCTTAGAAAGGAATGAAATTCTGACTCATGTTACAATGTGGATAAACTTTAAACACAATAAGTTAAGTGAAATAAGTCAGATAGGAAAGGACAAATATTCTGAGTCCACTTTTATGAGATACCTAGAGTAGCCCAGGGAAAGACAGAGGAAGTAGAACGGAGGTTACCAGGACCAAGGGGAGGAGTGGGTGGGAAGCTATTGTTGGATAGAGTTTCTGTTAGGGATGATGAAAAAGTTCAGAACTGGATAGTAGTAATGGCTGTGCAACAATGTGAATGTACTTAATGCCACAGACTGTGCACTTAAACCTGGTTAAGTAGTAAGATTTATATCATGTGTATTTTACCACAGTTAAAAAATGCTTAGAATATCAACTGTAAGAATGTAACTTGGTTGGGAAAAGGTGTGTATTTTGTTGAAAATGGAGACACCAGTCATCTCTTTCTAAATTGTTTCTGTATGATTTATTTGGAACTGAAATCTCACAAGGTCACTGCCTTGTCTAGGATGAAAATGACTTCTTATCAGATAGGACATTAGATGAGCATGTGGTGACGTTCCAGAGATCACCTGCAGTCATGAAACCAGGGGCATAGCTAATAGCCAGGGCTTCCTTTGACTTGGATGTGAATCCTAATGTGGCCACTTGCCAGTTATGTGACTCAAGCAAATTACTCACCCTGTCTAAGTCTTGCTTTCCTCATCTGTAAGGCAAGGGCAAGAATGGCATCTACTTCACAGGGCTGTGGCAAGGATTAAATGAACTAACCTTTAGAAACCCTTGGCCAAGTGCCTGGCAAAGTGTAAGTTCTCAGGAACTCATGGTGTTTTTACAATGTCATTTTTTTCTCTGCAACATGAGAGCAGGTGGAAGGAATAGAGACTGTAACATTCTGGAGACTGTAATATTTTGTTAAGATTCTCTTTCTGGAGTTTTCTCCATTTCCTCCTCTGCTTGTCCTGGCCAACCTCTCCTCATAGTTACCTATCCCCAAGGGAATTATTTTGAATGTTGTGGTACTGCCCAGCCTAGAATCAAACCCAAGCTGATGTGCCTCAGGAAATAACTTCTGGTACAACTTCTTGGTAAAACCACAGCTTTTATCTTCATATTTTCTGTGAATTGTGTCTATGAAATCTTTCCCTTAAAGTGCTCTTTTTCTCTCTAGAGAGTAAAAATACACACTTGTCCTCAGTTACAGATGATCTATTTATAGCGTGTGCCTTTAAAATACATAAGAAATACCATAACATTTGCTGTTGCCATGTTTTGGTGAGATATTAAGATGACTTGGATTAAAAAAAAATGTAGATATTAGGTTGAACCCAATACATGTCTGTGTTTGTGTGTTGGAAAGAAGGATATAATACAACAATAATAAATGTAATAATAGCTTTCATGGAGTTTTACTAGGTAATAGTTTGTTTTCTTTGCCTTTCTTTACCTTTCACTCCTCACAGAAGCTCTAGTAAGTAGGTACTCTTCATTAACTCCACTTTCTAGATGGGCATACCGAGGGGTAAAGGGCCACACTGCTGACAGTGAAACAGTCCTATGCTCTCTTTTTCTTTTTTAAAGATTTACTTATGCATACAAGAACTGGGGTACAGGCCAGAGGTACAGGGGGTGAGAGAATTCACCAGAAACAGAGTGGGGAGCAGAACAGGCAGAGTGACTGAAATACACTGCTCAGAGGAGCAGCAGGTGAGACAAGAGAGGTCCTCTGCACCATGTGGGTCACCTCCCTGGCTGGGGATTGAACTTGTGCTGCAATAGTTGGAGACAGCTTCACAGTGCTGACGCTTAACCCCTTGTGCCACCAGGGAGGCCCCAAGTCCTACACTCTTAGCCACTAACCCTCCACGGAACTTTGTACGGAAAATCTTGCGGCCATGGCATGCTGAATAAACATGGTTAAACTAGCATTTGAGAGAGGACTAACCATGAGTTACTAATTCTCCGAGTCGAGAAGTGATAACATTGTTTTCTCTCAGTGACAGTCTTCATCTTCAGCTTGATGGCTTTGGAGAAGGCAAGATGAGGCAAAAACAAGTAGAAAGAGGTGGACTTCATCCACTTACGGTCTAATGTAAAACTACAACTATTCCTTTTCTGAGATAACTTGTGAGCAGTGAAATTTCTACGAATATTGATGAATACTTGGTTTAATATTGGGAGGTGGCCAGGAATAAAAATAGCAAGAAAGGAATATAGAATTAACTAGTCATCTTTAACATATTTATTGTTTATTTATTGTTTTAAATATGGAATAAAAATAAAGCTCATTTTGTAAATGATGTATTTAATGGTGTTTACTTCACGAGGTGCTGTTCTAGATACTTTATATATTAACTGTAGGATGTAAGTTCTCGTTCTACCTTTTATAGAAGTAAAGACTTAGGCTCAGAGAGGTTAAGTAGCCTGCCACAGGTCACACAGCAGAGAAGTGGCAGTATGCTATGCTAAACAAATAGTCAACAGCCCTATTTTGAATGGTTTGATTCAGATGAAGTGTTTCATTGCTTCTGAAATGCACACTAAGTTTTGTTTTAAAAATTCATTTGGCATTGACTTTTTTTCTCCCTTTAAAACAATTTTAAGTGGAAAAATACAGAAAATAAGCATCTTTTAAATTTTCATACTTGCTTCCAATTTGTTTTCTTCTCGTGAAAAAGAAGTAAAACATTACAGGCAAAGTTTCAGTTCCTTTTCTATGCTCCCCAGATCCTGCTTCCCTCCCTCTTTCCTCAGGGTACTAAGATCACTAATATTATCTGTAAGATCGTTGGCCTATGTTTTCATACTTTTCTTTAGATATGATTCATACATAATGTATAATATTGTTCTGAATTTCTAGATTTAATAAATGCTATTCTACATACCCATTCTTTCAGTCTGCCTTGTTTTTCACTTAATATTATGCTTTTGTGACCTGCATCCATACACACAGATCTAGTTCATTCCTGTTGTCTGCTGTGGAGTATTCCATAGGATAACACCACATTTTATCCCTTTCCTTCTTTGTGAACATGTAGAGTATTTTCAGTTTTACCCTAGTAGAATCAAGGTCACTGACCATCCCATGTGAGAGTATTTATCTAGAAGTAGAACTGCTGGGTCAGAGGATCAGCTTTGACTTGCCAGGTATGGTTCAGAGTCTCCAGAGAGAATTTCACTTCCTACATGTGGGAAGATTCCTTGCTTTTTTATCTTTCTATTTGGCAATAGATGCCTAAAGCTTAATTTATGTTTCACTGGCTACCTCTTTGTGGCGAGACTGAGTCTCTCCCTTCCCCCTGAGCAATGGCCCTGTCAGTGGCTGACACAGCAAGAAGAAAGGAATTGTTTGAACAGGGAGTCACAACACCAGCAAACATACAGCCCACTTCATTCAAGTCTGACAATGAGACAGGGGCTAAGCCTGAATTCTGGGCTCTCCCAACAAGACAGGGGCTGCAGGGAGAGGACAGAGCAGCAGGAGAGGAGGCTGAGCTTTGGAGGGGAAGAGGGAACTATCCAGGAAGCTGACACCTGGGGTCAACTGAGCTCTCACAAGAAACCCTTGGGGACTTGATACCCTTCACCTGGGGGCACAAGGACTCACAAACTCACACTTTTGGATAGCATTAGTTCCAGGCTAAATTTGGGAGTGTGGCCCGTGGGCCTGTGTAAAGACTAACCCCAGGTTTGGGCATTATTTGACCACTTCAATGGACTTTAGGCCACTGCTGGGCATATGTCCCTTCACATGTCATGGCACAGTTAGAAATCATACTTTTGAGCCAGCTGGTCCTCCTTTCAGAACCCACTTGCTTGCTGGAGAAGATGAAAGAATCTATCTAGCTGCCCTGGGAATTTCGCTTTCATCTCTGCTTCCTAAAACAATGACTTGCTGTCACTCTCATTTGACATATTAAATTAAATTACGCCAAACAGGGAGTATTTAACTAACCTCCTTTCTTCCTTAATGGATTGTTTCTCAGTGATTGATGTTTATTCATGTGCCTCCTTTTCAGAAACAACAACAAATATCAAAACAGAGAACCCCTCGGAACTCAGAGACCTAAAGGGAGTCCAGAGTAAAATGGCACGTGATGGTCCTCTCCCCGCTGCATAAGGTGTCTCTCTCATTAAGAAAACAGTCAAGGTCAATTTTACTCACCCTTGGAAGGAATCACCGTAGTGAAAACTTCTATATTTTCATCACTGCAGCTGTAAATCTGATGCATCATTTCAACCTTTTTTCCTCCAAAAGTGCCTGGGAACCGGAGGCCTCTCTCTGAACCCCTAGCCGCGAGGTTTCCTAATCCAGTCTGCCTCAGGGATCATTGTGCAGGTCCACAAAAGACAGGCTGGTGCTGTGATCTCATCTCATTCCAGAGTCTTCACTGCAACATTTTCTAATCCCATCTGTCTTTTTTTTTTTTTTTTTATGAATCCTATTATTGCAAACCTTTGATTGAGCGTGGAGGCTACAGTCCCCTCCCAGTCAGGATGTATTTAACATTTTTATTTCGCTGTGTCTGCCGCAGTGAATTTGGAAGTCTTTTGTGAAGTGATGATGAAGTGAAATCGCCTACTCGCCAAGCTTGGCTGGAGAATTTCACCAAAAAGGAAATGTGAATTTTGGTACCAGCTATTCCCCTCTACATTTCAAAATTGAAGGGGCTTTTTTTTTTCTGAAGAACTAGATATTCAGTAGTTTGTCATGTGTTAATTTGGCTTCCGTCAAAGTTTCTATTTTAAACAAAAGGACTGTTTCTCCCGGAGCGTGTTTGCCTCACGCCTGTAATGACAAGGCTGACATTTCTACGGAGCTTCATGCTTAGTCTCCTGGTAGAATCTTCAGGTGCTGGCAGGGACGTGGTACCAGGTAGTAGGGAGACACTCAAAATGCCTATTAGAGAAAGGTGTATTTTTTTTTAATCCTAAACATCCTAATATTTTGGGATTCTGTATTTTGTCCCACATATTCTTTCTATAATATCTATATAATATAATCTATATGTCTATACAAACACAAATAACATGACTGAAACATGTGAATTTTGTCAGTCATTGTCTTTCCTTGCATCATTCAAGATTTTCTTCTTCATATTTATAATGATGATGATGTAATAATAATAATATAGTTGCCATTTAGTAAATGCTTGCTAAGAGTTGGGAAGTTTAATATCTAGTCTAATCTAATGTCTACAACTACCCAATGAAACTAGCTATTTTTTTTTTTTTTTGGCCATCTTTTGTGTGAAGAAACTGAGGCGTGAAGAGATTAACTTGCTCAGGATTAAAATACCTAGTTCATAGCAGAAGTAAGATTTAATCCCTCGCTTGATTCCAACGGCAATACACTTAGTCACTAATTTAATTTTATTTTTCACTTTCAAAGCCTCTGCTCCCAACTCCCACTTTGAACCTGGGGAAACTGAGCATAATATTTTACACTTGGACTTGGGTTTCTATAGCAGAAAAATTGGGGGCATTTATTTATCAGTTAGTTGTCAATATTACACCTATGTCTCTGAGAAGTACACCCAGCCACAGAAGATAGCCTTGGGAGGCCATGTTTAATCTCTGAATTTGGCCTCTTGGGTACATTTCACTGGACCAGAGGGGACTCCTAACTCAAACTGTTGCCCCTTGGAAATGGAAACTGGGCCTTGGTCTGGGACTAGAGGGGTGGCGTAAACTCTCAGGATCCAGGGTGGGACTCAGTGCTAATGCAGATAAAGTTGAGTGGAAGAACTGGAAGGGCCTGAGGCTGAATGCAAATCCAGCATAAAGGGCTTTAGCTGGGGAAGGGGAGCAAGTATTTTCAATGTGGCCCCCATTTGATGGTTTTGTTGCTATGTGCACACTCAGATGAGGGCCAGTGGGAAGGATAGGGGATTGCAGATGAGATGAATGTTGGGAGAGAGAGGGGTGGGTTGTGGGAGATTGAGAAAAGGCAAAAAAAGGGGCAGAGATAAGGGAGGGAGAAAATATTGCCGTATATTGATAGTCTTTTATTTCCTCCCTTGTCTCTTCCTGTCTTAGAGTCAGTGAGATACCTCAGTTTCTATTTAATAAATTTCCCTTTTTGCTTAAGTTTATTTAGGTTTTGGTCATTTAGATAGACTTGTGTCTATAAATTTTATAACCTCCACAGCTATAAGATTTTTAGATAATATAAAATTTAGAGGCATACCTAGGACAATAGAAAGCAATATCCAAAATTATGCTGATAGACTGCTAGTAATAAAACCTACAGATGAAATTTTAGACAACTAAATGTAAACATCACATTTATAATTAAATAATTTTTTATGAAATACAGAATTGGATGACCTGGTTGAGAAGCAATTTATCATAAAGAAACCTGTGGTTTTGCTTCACCCCATCTTCATAAGAGGCTGCATTAATGAGCAAGGGCTAAAAGAGAAACAAATGTAGTTTCAAGGACTTGATACTAAATTGAAATTAAGAATCCTCTGAGGTACTGAGAAGTCAATTAGGGTTACCTGAATTTAATCTCAAAACTGGATTAGGTTTCTCTAAGAAAGCTGAAACCTAATCAATTAGATTTTATTGTATTACGTCTAATGAATACACCTGAAACACAACTAACTGAGCTAATGCAAGGAAACGTAGCAGAGAAAAGTAACTATTAAATCATATTTACTTGTTTGAAATACTTTAAAGATGATACATGCTTATCAGAAATTTAAAAAGATAATACAGAAAAAGTGAATAATACTTCCCCTAATCTAGTCTCACTTCCTAAAAGCAATTGTTTATAAATTAGTGAGCACATTTTCCAGGTTTTGCATATATATATACTTTAAAAAGCAGAAAGGTAGTCACACTGTACATACATAAATGCATGCACTCATGTGTGAACATATATTTTTAAATAACTGTGCAGGAGACCACAGCATTATAAGAATATATCCACTTCTTTCTTGGTAGACCTTCAGTTTATTTGCATTAAAAAAAAAATTGGAAACAATGCTGCAAAGCACTTCTTCAATATGTATCTTTATACCTGTCAATTAACACTTTTATAAGCTACATTTCAATTGAGGGAGTAGGGGTCATTGTATATGCATGCTTATATATTTGAGGGAGTTTTCCATATTGCCTCCAAAAATTTTCATTGGTTGATACTTTCACCAATGACCTTTGAGGAGCTCATCCCCCATACCGTTGGCAATACTGTTATTTGTGGGTGTACGAGGCTCCTTTCAAGTTAGGCAAGAGCAGGACACTTGATGGCCCTAGGTATACATCACAGGTATGACTGGGAACTCCCAGGGGCGGCGAAGGGGTAGGATGGGAGGGGTGGGGGAGGGGAGGTCATCGACTGATCAGTGGATCGCCTTGTTAATAAGATTGAACCATGGGTGGGGGTCGGGAGTATATCAGTGGACTCATCCTCCCTAAAGCCCTAAATCTGGTATTCAGTTTGACTCACCCTTTTCTCAGTTAATAAAAAGGCCAGGATCTTGCACTTGAGCCTCATACTGCATCCTTCAGCCTGCTTCACGACTCCTGTTTCTTTTCGTTATCAGTGAGGTGTTGCTAATGCAACAGTTATTCATCTTTTTAATTTTTTGCACTCTGAGTTAGGAATCCTCATCATATTATATAGTTGAGGTCCTTTTATTTTACAATTGTGGAGGAGTCAAAGGCTGAGTCCTCATTTTGGAATACAAGCTCTATAATCTCTGCACAATAGTATATACTACATTTATGAGTACTGGGGCAACCCTTGTCCAGGATGAGGTTAAACCCAAGGAAGATAGAGTCTGTCCAGGTCTGGGGTCCTTTTCTCCCAGGTTTAAGGAATTAACTGCTGAGGGTTCTATATACTGTTAGCACATGGCTGGCCCCTTACTTCCAATTAAAAATTTTGCTTTTATTCACAAGGCATTCAGTTAATGTCAATGGAACACTCTGTTCCTCTATTGAATATTTGCAAAGTGCCTGGCCGCCTGTTTGGCTAATGGGAAGTGGCACTGCCTCTGTTTTTCTTTAACCAGAGAGCTCCAGTTTTCCCTGTAAAAGCACTAGAAGAAGCCTGTACTGACGAAATTCCATTCAGGCTGAAACCTAGGGAATCTTTTCAGACTTTAATATACATAGGAATCAACATGGGGTCTTGTTTAAATGTGGATTCTGATACTACAGATCTGGGGTAGGATCTGAGAAACTGGGTTTCTAAGGAGCAGCTCCAGAAGTCCTTGTTCCTATTCCCAGGATGCATTTTGGCATTTACTGAAGAGAGCAGATGGATGTATTAGAATTACGAGGAGCTCAAGTCCCCCACCAGATTAATGCAATATGATTCTCCAAGGGCCCAGGCATAAGTATTTAAATATACTACTAATGATATTATCATATGCAACGACGTTTTAGATGGAGTGAGGTGGTTCTCAAATTGTCCCCAGGCAGTAGCATCGGCACAACCCCGGAACTGGTTAATTTACAGATTCTCAGGCCCACTATGCCACTAAATCAGTGATAGAGCCCAGAATTTTTTTTTTTTAAAGATTTATTTATTTATTTATACAAGCACTGGGTATACTCAGAAGTGCAGGAGGGTGAGAGAATTCACCAGAGCAGAGAGCAGAACAGGCAGAAGGACCGAGGTATACTGCTGAGGGGAGCAGCGGGCGGCAGGAGGTCTGTGCGCCATGTGGGACCCTCCTTAGGTGGCCAGGGAGCAGCCAGGGATCGAACTGGTGCTGCAGAGGCTGCGGGCAGCTTTGCAGCCCAGCGCTCAACCGCTGCGCCACCGGGGAGGCCCGCAGCAATTTTTTTAAAGAGCTTTCCAGGGCCTTCTGATCTTGACTAGGTTTGAAAACCCCAGAAGAAAGAGGAGTGCTCTTTCCAGAGCCCTCCTCAAGATCTGGATCCAGGCTCCTTTACCCTGGATGCATATCAGACCTGCTAATATGGGCTGCATGGCTAGGCCCCACCTGCATTTTTTTCTGATTCAAAAGATCTGGAGAAATCACCAGGAGTATGTGGTTTTCAGAACACCAGAAGATGTGGATTTAGTGACTGAGCAGAGGGGCAGCAGCCGCCCAACATGCATGGTGACCTGTGGTCTCCTGGTTTGTACTGCAACATGTCCATTCATTCCACCTTCATCAAACCCCATCATATGCCCGGCACTACACTGATAATATTACTGCATGACTATTATGCACCAGATCCTTTATATGTTAGCTGTAAAAACAATATTGCA